TAGCTGTCCTAGAACTCACTTTGTAGATCAGGCTGGCCTCTGCCTCCACAGTGCTGGGATTAAAGGTGTGCCAGTGGAGCAGCACATTTTTAAGTGGATGAGGAGGGAAATATTGCCAGCATTTGCTGAGCACTCTCAAGGGTCTGAGCCACAGTCTGGCTTCAGTGAGTACAGGATCAGTGAGTAGGAAGCAGGCAGGGGTATAACACGAATGTCATTAGTTCTTGGGTGACTGCAATTGTGGTGGTGGTGAACCCCTTTAGTCTCAGCACTAGGGAGTCAGAGTTCAAGGCCAGCCTGGTCTACAGATAGAGTTCGAGGCCAGTCTGGTCTACAGAGAGAGAGTTCCAGGACAGCCTGGGCTACACAAAGAAACCTGTCTCAAATAAAACAAAAACAACAAAAACCAGAAAATGATGCCATGATAGAAGGGATTTGGGGGATTACAGTACTCAGTCTGTCTATTGGCATGAAGGCTAAAGGCCCTGGGTTCAATAACCAGCAACACAAGCACACACATACTGCACACACATGCACAAACAGACAGATATACGTAGACAGAGAGACACACAGAGAGAGACATACACACAGACACACACAGTAAAAAAACATTTGTTGCTGGGTCCTATTTGATCTTGATAGTCATTAGCCCGGTCCTTTCCCAGTGCACTGAGGGACCCTTGTGCTTCTCTCCCGCACTGATGCTTTTGCCTGTCACAAGGAAGGGGGCGGATGAGTTCCCATAAAGGAGCTGATGGGAAGTTACCCTTCAGAAAAGCTTCATTAGGAGAGAGCCAGAGTCTCACAACCACAGGCAGCTGTGATCAGGCTGAGGTACGAGAGAGCTTCAGGAGAGACAGGGCTTTGCACTGAAGACAGCACATGGAGTTTGGAAGGGAGTCTTCAATCTCTGGCTAGCAGGGGCACGTTAGCAGCATGGGCATAAACAACAATGAGGGGCAACAACGGAACCCAGAGGTGTCCAGTTCCCTTCAGCTCTGAGAGCAAAGGGAGCTTCTTTGTCTTACAGGCTTACAGGGTGTGTGGGAAGTTCCACACCATGTGAGCCACCTGGACTTGCCTGAATACCAAGGGAACCAGGGCAGGCACTAGGGAAGACCATAAATTTATTCTGCACCTGTCAGGAGTGGGAGAGAGTTCAAGGCCATTGGAAGGCTCATTAACTTTGTCTCAGAGAGAGCTGCAGGGGACACGGCCTAAGTCTGAGTGAAAGGAAGCAGGACCAGAGAGTCTGTGATGTGACATCCTCTGCCCCTCTCACATCCTTCCTTTCTTGGTTTACTGCCTTTGGGTGACACGCTTTCCACAATAGTTGTATTGGCTGCTTTCTTATCACTGTGACCAAGTGATACCTGACAAGCTGCACCCTAAGGAGGGAAGTTTGTTTTGGCCGATGTTAGTGCTACCATCATCGCAGTGGAGCAGGCACGATGGTGGGAGACTACCTGCAGGGACAGCAGCGTCAGGAAGCAGAGGAAAGGGAATGCTCACCATGCTTTTGCCAGGATTCCAGCGAATACAATGGTGCTGTTCACACTCAGTGCAATCTTCCCCCATGTTAATCCTCTCTGAAAATGCTCTCAGAGTCACACCCAGAGGTGTGCCTCACTAGTGCCCTAGGCATTTCTTAATCTGAAGCCAATCAAGACAACAGTTTGCTGAGAAATGTTGCCTTTAAAAATGATCTTATATGTGTGAAATGTTATCTGCACACAGCATCTCACAACAATAAGCAACATCATAACTCCTGCTTACTTCACCTCTGAGCTCCCTAATCACTGAAGGGAATTTTAGTTTGGCGTGTTTACAGGGATAGAAAGTGCAGGGACAGAGAGCTTTGTAGAAAAAATAAGGTTCAAACATTTGGCAGATAGCAATAAAAAAAAAAAACCAAAACATAGGAAATGCAAATAACAATAACTCTGGTCTGTGAAAGCATTCTTTTGGCAAACAGAAACAGGACCTGCAGCATGATGTTGTCTATGACACCTTAACCTTCAGGCAGTTTTGGACAAGTGTTAATTTTCTCAGATAAGGTAGGGACTTCTCACCAGCAGGCAGAATTCAGTCTACCTAAATAAAACTTTAAATTATTCAAATATAACCTGTCATCAGGTTATTGTAACTTGTTGTTAAGTGCGTATATAAAAGTTGTTTGTATGTATGTATGTATGTATGCATGCATGTATGTATGAATGTATGTATGTATGATCTGTATGTATGATCTGACTGTGCCACCTTATCACCACCAGGACTAACTAGATACTGTATTCATATACTGATCATTCTCTTTGTGTACAAAGTGTGACCACGCACAGTGGAGCCATTGTCGGGTGCCTTGACAAAGTACCTTTTGTCTGAACCAGTGGTATCGGCATTATTTTGCTTTTGTTCTCACATTGTGAGCTTCAGAAAAGAATGAGGGTCATGTTACTCTCTTTCCATCATCTGTGGACCATTTTACCCCTTCCGATATAGAACAGCAAGGAAAACACTAGACAGAAATTAAATGTTTTCTCTTTGAAGAAATTACTAGTCATGTTTGAAGCAATATGAATAGAATAGTAGCAAATTAGTTGACCTGATAACACATGGGCTTTACCACATTCTCTTCTATTACAATCAGTGTATCTGGTTTTATGTTGAGGTTGAGCCTAGCCAGCAGTCAGACTTCTCTGGTTGATAGTACTATTCAAACTTCCATCCAAACCAGAAGGTCAGTGATGAGGGAGACAGGGGATACAGAAGATAGGCACCAGCTAAGGAGTCAATGAGTGGGGGAGAGGGCAGGGTACCACAGTCTAGCTCCAGCAGGGCTCTTGTGCTGCAGGAGGGATGTGAGAAGTTGGTGAGAAATGAGAAGTCTGAACATGGTTGTCTTTCAAACTGATGGCCCAACTAGCTTAGGCTGTCTTTATTTGTACACGTTCTAATGCACTCAAGCCTAAGCAATTTCAAAGCATTTCTCTTTAATCATTTTCCAAGAATCATTAACAGTTTAGTTTCTCTTCTTTCCCACTCATTGACGTCATTGTCCTTTACCGCATATCATTATATAGCAAGCCAAATGTTTATATCTAGCTAAGTACATCTTATGCACACTGTGCCCTAGCCGGCAGCAAACATGCCAAGTAAGAGATTTGAGCCCAGTGATTAATTCTGAACAATATGAGATCAGCTGGGTATACTGTGATGCCTAGAGTATCATTTTTAGGTGTATAGTTTCTGAGTAATCTGTATGTCAACTTTGTTATGTGGATTGCAGTTATAATCCTATTCTTTGTAAGTTCTCAAAATGGTAATGATTAATACCTAACTCTGTAACTATTGAAACTAAGATTCTTTATTCTTCCTGGCAATTTATTTTTTTCTTTTTTAATTTAAATTAGAAACAAGCTTGTTTTACATGTCAATCCCAGTTCCCTCTCCCTCCCCTCCTCCCCTACAATTTCTAAATGTACCTCTTTAAGAGGAACTAGGAGTTTTAGATTCCTTTATTGATACTTTGATATTGGAAAAGTATCTTAGTGTTCATGTCCTGGTGCCAGAGAAATGTCTGACCTTTCGTGTCCTATCTCTTTTTCCTTCTGTGTTCCTATAAGGTTTTAAATGTCATCTTTTAAGAAACTTTTCTTGGTTCTTAAGTTCTTTATATATTTATCTCTTTTTGGTATTGAATAAGTAATAATCATTAACCTTAGCGAGTTCCTCTTGCTTATTCAGGATGACTGCAAAGGCAGCCAGGGACAACTGGAGAAACTGGTTTCTGTAACAGACCAGAGAAATTTAGTTTTTCTGTGGAGGCTTTTGTTTCCAGTAAACTCAGGCATAATCATGACTAACAAGGTAGAACCAAGAGTTTCCATAAGAATAAACATAGCAAAAGTTAGAGAAACCTGAAGCCCACGAGCTCCCAAAGATCAGCACAAGAGTCTGCAGTACTGTATCCATAGGTCCTTGCCAAATGGATGGGATTCTCCAAAGGGCCTTGCTGTCTAAGGAGCTCCATTTGCAACATACCTATGCACTGTTCCCAAGGGAGATAGCATGGCTTCTGCCAGCAGGGGTTCATTAATGTTGAGTTTCATTGTGAGATGAACTCAGTGTATGGTTTGAGAGTCCTTTGTAACCAAGTCTTCCATTGTTTCTACTCGTCATGGTCAGATTCTCCAGAAAAGTTTTCCAGGCTTGGTTGGAGGATGACATTCTGGGAGCAGCAAGAGAAGGGTCTGGGAGGCCTATACTGAACACTCTCACAGTCACTCACTGTCCTGTTTGTGGTATGATCAACCTCAAATGTGTGTCTAGACTTGCAGACCCTGAGAGCTTGTTTTACCCTGTCCAGAAAACAAACATCCATCCCTCTGCTGGGGTGAGGGAGGAAGTCCAGGGGACTGCCAGAAGTGTTCTCTCCTTCTGTTCACTCCCAGAGGAACCTGTACTTGTCAGTCTGACCCATTTAGGAGTTTCTTTCTCTAAGTAGGGTTACTCCTCAGCTTCTTTGTCCTGGTTGCTTAAAACAAATGCCTCCAGGGCTGGAGAGATGGCTCAGCCATAAGGGCTAGATTCACAACCAAGAAGAAATACCCCAAATTAAAAAGGAAAATCCCTGTGGTGTTTTCCCATGGTGGGCCATGCTCTACCATGAAGCTATCTCCCAGCCCAAGCAAATGCTTTCTTTTATTTTAGGAGTGTGAAATTTGACAAATGTTTAGCTTCTCCCCTCGCCTCTGGAAATGCTTTCATTTTCTGCTTGATACCAGCACAAGCCAGATATGTGCACACCTGTATTATATCACTATTATTCCTAGTGGAATTTAAGAATAGAAAGAGGGTCAGGTTCAGTGGCTCAACCCTGTAACACATAGTGCATGGAGGCAGGAGGACCAGGAGTTTAAGGTTGTCCTTGGTGTGCTGGCTAGTTTCATGAGGGAACCTCAGCTGAGAAAATGCCCGCCCCCCTCCCCCACCAGATTGTCCTGTGGGCAAGCCATGTGGTGCATCTTCTTTATTGATAATTGATGTGGGAGGGCCTGTTTCACCCCTGGGCTGGTGGTGCCTGGTGCTAAGAAAGCAGGCTAAGGAAGCCATGAGACGCAAGCCTGTAAGCAGCTTTCCCACATGGCCAATAAGTTCCTGCTCTGCCTCAGTTTCCTGACTTCCCTCAGGGTTGGAGTGTTACCTGGGAGTGTAAGACACAATAAACCTTTTCCTCTGCAAGTTGCTTTTCTTCAGGGTGTTTCATTTCACTATATAGTGAGCTCAAGTTTGAGGCCAGCCTGGGCTACATGAGACCTTTTTTTTTTTTTTTTTTTTTTTTTTTTTTTTTTTTTTTTTTTTTTTTTTTTTTAATAAGAAAAGGAGGAGTGTGGAATAGGGGCAACCATGCTTTGAGTCTGGTCTCTAGGAAGAGACCAGCGTCCATACAAAGAAAGAGCTGTGTGTAGTGTCATGCCTTTAACCCTGGTGCTCAGGAGGCCGAGGCAGAAGGATCTTGAGTTCAAGGTGCTACACAGAAAGACCCTGACTCCAAAAGAGATAAACAAGTAAACAGCAAAACAGAAACAAAAACCAGTAAAACCCCAACCCTTTAAAGGGAACACATCCATACTTGGCAGGCCCAGACACTGGAAACATGGCGTCAGGTGAGGTCTTTGCGTCGTGGAGGTCAGATTTTCTTTTGATTTCTCAGTTGCAATTTCTTCCTGACTTTGCACTCGCCCATTGGTTAGCCAGGATCTCCACCATCCTGCTGTCATCTTACTGTTCTTTCCATAGACACCTTACAAAGATTTTTGTGCTTTAAATAGTCTGGGGCTGAATTCATTTTGGGTCCAGGTAAACTCCAGGCCAGCTGGTTCTGTACATTTCTTTCCCCTTTTAGCCTCTTCTCCCATTGCCCCTGCCAGTATTTGCTGGCTCTCAAGTTTGGCCACTGGAAGTGAAGGGGGCATGTGAGGTGCCAGGAGCTGAGTGACCCTGTTCAACGAACAGCCTGTTCCCACATTCTTGACACAGAGCCCGACTCACTCTCTTTTCTGTTGCAGGTCAGAGATGCGGTCAAGGTGGTAGGCATTGCTGGAATGGGCTTGGCAACCTTGGGCCTCATTGGAGTCCTGGTCTCCAGAAACAAGAAACAGAAGCAATGAGTTGGATGACTATCCAGCCCAAGGAGCTCTTCTTTTGCTAGAGGCTTTGAAGTTTGATTTATAGATTCTACTGTTTTATTATTAGACTATTTCCACAGCATACAATAAAGCACAAGAGAACTTTGCTGGAAGGATGCTACAGTAGCTACCTGATGTGAAGTCTCTGGAGGGGATCTAGGGGCTCTGGTCTGGGCAACAGCCTTTCCTGCTTGTTCTTTCTTTTTGCTGTAGCACCCTTTGCACTGCATGAAGCAGAGTCCAACACTGTTAACTCAAGTGAAGGGCATGTCTGTGTGTCAAATAGATACTGTGGTATGCCAAAGGAGACAGCCTGGATACACAGAAGTGGAAACCTCAGATAACTAGGGCTCCTGGCCTAGAACTTGATCCAACATGGCACCTTGGGACTCAGGAGCTGGAGTCTGTGGATATTCAGTGGAGTGGAGCTCAGTGGCGGAGTGCTGTCCTGGGGTGTGTGAGGTTTTAGGTTCAATCCCTAGTACGATCCCTTTTCACAGAGAAATTCAGGATATACATGGCTGGTCTTCCTAAAGCCTTCCAATGCATTCCCTCTGCATTCCAGGTCTGTTCTAGTTAGGTTTATATTGCTGTGATAAAGACCAGAAACAACTTGGGGAGGAGAGGGTTTATTGGCTTACAGCTCCCTGGTGACAGTCCATTGACTGTCCATTGAAAGAAGCTGAAATAGGAATTCAAGGCAGGAATTGAAGCAGAAACTGTGGAGGAACACTACTTACTGGCTTGCTCTCCATGGCTTGCTCAGCCTGCTTTCTTATACAACCCAGGACACCTGCTGAGGAGTAGCACCACCTGCCATGGGTTGGGCCCTCCCACACCCATCATTAATCAAGAAAATGCCTTACAAATTTGCTGACAGCCACTCTCATAGAGGCATTTTCCTAACTGAAGTTTTCTCTTTCCAGATGACTCCAGATTGTGTCCCATTGAGAAAAAAACACAAGGTCCTTCTGCCTTCTGCCTTCTGCCTTGGCTTTTCCTCCTCCTCAGCTCTCCCACTTTCTTACCACTGGTCCTCTGTTTCTACCTGCCCTTCTCTTCTCACCTGAGCTCATTATCACGTACATGCTCAACCCTGAGTCCCCAAGAGAAAATGTGATTGGCTCGGAGCACTACAGAACTCAGCTTACACATTGGCTGCCTTTTGTTCAAGTGGTTTCTAAGTCAATTAGCTGTGTCTAATGGCTCAGAGTCGCATGGCACAAACATTGCTTAAGGCCTTAGGGATTTTGGGGTGACTGATACAGCTGTCACTTAGCGCTCGTTCCAGGACTGAGGCAAGGTGTCACCTTTGCAGCTGATTTTAAAAGCAGGATTTATTTTTTATTTTATGTATATAGGTGTTTGCACATATGTTTGAGCACTATGTGTGCACAGTCCCTGTGGAGGCCAGAGAAAGGCACTGGATACTCTGAAACTGGAGTTACAGATGGTTGTTAGCTACCATGTGGGTTCTGGGAACTGGCCCCAGATCCTCCGCAAGAGCAGCCAATGCCCTTAGCTGCTGAGCCATCTCCAGACCCCTGAAACTGATCTTACTGTTGGTTGGGATTGGCAGATGTTCATGGTGACTGTTCCAGCGGACTTCTGTGGGCTCCTCTGGGGCCAGTTGCCATTCCTCGGCAGGGCCACAGTGGTTTCACTAGGTTACAGATGTTGCCCCTGTTGCTAGTTGTCTGCAGACAGCTTGTCCGTTACAGCCCTGGTCAGGATACAAGATGGTCAGATACTATCTTGCTCTAGCATTGAGAGAATAATTTTCTTTGGCACAGGTTCCTTTCTTAGTGTCTCATGTCAGTGCCCAAGCTCCCCAAACCCCAGGGACCCCGATCCAACTTCAAAGGACAGCTATCTTGGTTTCACCCCCTCCCCAGTGTGGCACAAGGTGAAAGGGACACATTGAAGGCTTCTAAATGATCTAAACCAATAACGGAGGGGAAAAGAAGGAGAAAAACAAATATAAGGGAACCAAACAAAAACTCTGTCACGTGAGAAAAGGCAACCCAGGGCCTCGGAGAGGGCTCAAAAAGTAGAGGTGCCTGCCACCAAGTCTGTTGACCCAAGTTTGATCCCTGGGACCCACATGGTGGAAGGAGCAAACCAACTCCCAAAAGTTGTATCCTGACCTCCATATATGTACCATAGCATTGGTGCTCATGTGTCTGCCTGCAGTACATACATAAATGTGATAAAGTTTTTTTTTTAATAGATGAAAATACAGACTTTCAGGCAAAATGATTACTACGCAGAGGAAATAAAAAGGTTCTGATTAAGGTATCAACTCAATTAAGTATATACTAATTCTAAATTCATGTGCATTTAATAGTCTCAAAGTAGATCATGAGTTCTTGGCCACTTATGAGGGGAAATGGACAATTTACACATCTTTGAGGCTGGAGAGATAGCTCAGTAGTTAAGAGCACTGGCTGCTTTTCCAGAGGGCCTGAGTTTGGTTTCCAGCAACCACATGGCTGCTCACAACCATCTATTACTCAGTTCTAGAGGATCCGACACCCTTTTCTATTCTCCATGAGCACTGCACACACAGACAAAACACCCATACACATATAAAAAAAAAACTTTAAAAAATGCATATCTCCTAGGAACTGATAATGCAACACAAAGATACAGAAAACTTGAACAAAAATTGGCAAGAAAAAGTTTCAACAGATATGTGTAATATAACTGTGAAATAAAAATTCTAACTATATACATAGGCATATTTATAAAAATTGATGATACCATGGCGGGGTGGTTTGACTAAAAATAGCCCTCATAGGCTCATATTTGAATGTTTGGTTATCAGGGATTGGTACTAGTTGAGAGGGGTTAGAGGGTGTGGCCTTGTTGGAAGAAGTTTGTCACTAGGGAGTAGGCTGTGAGTTTCAAAAGCACAACCAAGCCCAGTGCCATACTTTCTCCCTGCTGCCTGTGGATCCAGATGTAGAATTTTTAGCTACTTCTCCTCTACCGTGTCTGCCTGTGTACTGCCATGCTTCCCACCACGGTGATAATGGACTAAACCTCTGAACTTTTTTTTTGGGGGGGGGGGTTGAGACAGGGTTTCTCTGTATAGCTTTGGAGGCTGTCCTGGAACTAGCTCTTGTAGACCAGGCTGGTCTCGAACTCACAGAGATCTGCCTGCCTCTGCCTCCCGAGTGCTGGGATTAAAGGCTTTCGCTACCACTGCCTGGCTTTAAACTTCTGAGCTTTAAGCAAGCTCCTATTAAATGTTTTTCTTTATAAGAGTTGCAGTGCTCATGGGATCTCTTCACAGAGAATACGGACTAAAACACCTGGGGTCTTGGTGTTACAGATGGCTCTGTGTGTGTGTATGTGTGTGTGTGTGTGTGTGTGTGTGTGTGTGTGTGTGTGTGTTCTTTTCTGAGAGAGTTCACAGACAGGCAAGATCCAGCTCTTAGTGTTGGGATCCTGAGTTTCAGAGGCTCACAGCTTAATTTCCAAGCCCAGAGGCAGATAGCACTAATCTTTGAGATTCAGAGGCTCATGGTTGCAAGCTTCCAGAGTCAGAGGCTTGGTTACTGTTGTGGGCTCAGTGGGCCACAGCTAGTAGCTAGTGTCACAGTTTCTGAGTGATACAGGTCAGGACCTTTGGCTTGTTTATCCCTGGTGACTCCACTGTACTTTCTAGCAAATAGGAAAGTTCTCAAAGGTTTGGCTTCCACAAATGACTCTTCAAAATCGTTCGCTTTTCATAATAGCTCCAGTTTCTCTGCTGTCTTCTGCCTTCTCAACTCTTCTGCCATCCAGGGCTGCTTTTAAAATCTTACTGATTTCTTTTTGAAACAGGGACTCAAAAATGTAGTTGTGGTTGACCTGGAACTCACTATGTAGACAAGGTTGGCCTTGAACTCACAGAGATTTGCCTGATTCTGCTTCCTGTGTGTTGGAATTAAAGATGTGCACCACCATCAGCTAGCTGTTGGAGGCATTTTGAAATTTCTGCCTTCTCTGGAACACTTAAAACTCTTCTGCCCCCTGGAGTCAGATCTCAGAACTTCAGGAGGCAGGGCCCTAGGGTCGGCCCCCTGATGTAAGGCTCTGAGCCACAGGTGTAGAGATCTGTCCCTGCTGACTCTACAGAACTCTATCTCTGAGGTAGTTGCTGGCATTGCTGGAAGCCCCCGTGTTCTGCTTGTTTTTGTAGTCAGCCCAGCATGCATTCCACAAGTAGGCAAGAAGGCCATCCAGGAGACTTTATTATGGGAGGTAGAAAGGCCTCCTATCTGTCCTGAAAAGATGGGAAAACAGGCTATTTCTGTAGCTAGAAAAGGGGCAAGAAACATGTAGATGCCTCAAAATTCCCACCCATCACCGAATGGTACCCAGTCTCAATCACTGTCCCGGCATAAGGACCAGTTATAAGCTTTTTGGGCGATCCCTGGAGCAAAGCCTCCTGTAATGGCAGCGGTAGCTCCAGCAGCTGAGGTTGCCTTGTTCTTTATAGCTGGAGTGTAGTTTCTTCAAGTCACCTTATGTCTGAACTGCCATATTGTGGTGACCCAGAGAGGGCTGCTTGGTTGGCAGCTCCCCACTTAGGCTTCCTATTGCTGTGAAGAGACACTGTGACCATGACAACTTTTTTTTTTTGAAGATTTTATTTATTTATTATATATACAACATTCTGCTTCCATGTATATCTGCACACCAGAAGAGGGCACCAGATCTCATAACGGATGGTTGTGAGCCACCATGTGGTTGCTGGGAATTGAATTCAGGACCTCTGGGAGAGCAGTCAGTGCTCTTAACCTCTGAGCCATCTCTCCAGCCCCCATGGCAACTCTTACAAAAGAAAACATTTAATTGAGGTGGCTTACAGTTCAGAGGTTTGGTTTAGTCCGTTATTGTCATGCAGGTGACATGGTGTCAGGCAGGCAGACATGGTGCTGGAGAAGGGCTGAGAGTTCTACCTTTTGATCCACAGGCAACAGGAAGTGAACTGAGACACTGGGCATGGCTTGGGCATATATGAGCCTCCAAAGCTTGCCTCCACAGTGACACGCTTACCCCAACAAGGCCATACCTACTCCAACAAGGCCACACCTCCTATTGTGCCACTCCCTATGAGCTTACAGGGGCAA